TGTGTGTGTGTGTGTGTGTGTGTGTGTGTGTGTGTGTGTGTGTGTGTTGATGCTGAGAAGATTCAAGATTCATTATTAAAAAGAAGGTGAAACCTTGCTATCGGTTACAGCTCTGAACTGGAGAAGACAGCCAGCAAACACCTTAGCTAGAAACCTGTCCTCTTCCCTCTCCTCCCTCACCTTTTGCCCCTGTACTCACCTGCTCTAAGTCCCAAAAGGTGGAATGGTCCTCTTCTGAATCATACAAGAACTCAGTGTTCCCTGGAGCCTGAAGGGAAGGAAGTGGGTGCTGGATGAGCTCGGGTCTCAGAGCAGCTGTAGGCACATGGTAGCAGGAAGATGCCTGGTAGGCTCCAGAGAAAACCAGGGGTTTCCTTGTTTCAATCCTTTCACATTCTCTGGTCCTCCTTTGCCTGCCTCATTTTACAGAAGAGCTATAGGCACATGTTCATAGGCCTGTCCTCCCTTGTAAGCCTTGTAGGCAGGGGAGCACAGGGTGCTGGACCTTGGACTGCTTTCCTCCAGAATTCTATAAAGGCAGGGTACTCCTTTTGCAGGCTTTCTCCCTCACCGTTGTGTTGTAAAGAGTGTGTATGCATTGCATGTGTGATTTATTTATAATAGGTAAGTAAAGAATATATGTAATACAAATTATTTATAAATATTAAAGCAACGATGGGAGAGATGGCTCAGTGGGTAAAGACACTTGTCATCAAGCTGAAGAAGCCAAGTTCAACTTCCAGGATACCACCTGATGGAAGGACAAGGACAGGCTGTCCTTTGGCCTCTACATGCATGAGATGCTGTGTTTGTCTACACACACACACACATACACACACACATATTAAATAAATGTTAAAAAGTCATTACATTACATTTAAGTTGTAATGACTGGATATTATTATTGGTGTAATGGCATAACAAGAACTCTCTGACAGTCCCTGTGGACAAGGTTCATGAATCAGAAAGCTCCCTAGTCCTGCAGGTGCTCCCAGGACCTGCAGGTGCTGTGTGGCTCTGTCAGATTCTTCAGCTTTCTGAAGCTTTAGACAGTGTTATTCATGTCTTCCTCTCATTCCACCCACTAAGCTAGTAAGTTAAAAGATGGGAGACTAAGACAAAGCTTAGCCTCTTCATCCACCTTACCCTCAACTTTCCAAATCAGGGCCCCCACAGCCACTACGAAAAAAAGTGATGGCGGTGGCCGGCAAGAAACATATAAAAGTAGCAATCAATAAAATGATATCTTTATACAAGATTATCACTCAATCCTAAACAGAAACGCTGTGTGCAGCAGGCAATGGTTGATAGTGGCCGTTCTACAGATAGGGAACCTAACTGAGATTGCAGAATTGGTTCTGGAACTCAAACCATCTGTTCATCTAATGCCAGTTGGTCCTCCTGTTTTTGAGAGCTGGAACTTTGGATTCTTCAGATGTGGAAACCTTACCCCTTGAAAGTTGAGGGCTGGGGCTTCTCTAGTATTGGCCTGGGCAAAGAGGACTGCGTCGTGGATGGTAGGGAACACGTGATTGCGCTGTACACACCCATCTTCAAAGACACCTCCGTGGCTGATGTCATTGTAGACCTGGGCTGGGAGGAGGCAGGTATCATAAGGAAAAGGTAACAGCCAGGGCAGATTGGAGCTGGTAGGAGGGGCTGGTGGTAAAGCGTGGGGCAATCGGCCCTGCAATATCAGTTATGGACAGCAGAGGACAGTATGAGCTAAAAAATGCTGAGCCCTCAACCCAGTGCAGAAGGAGGAGGTTGGATTTGAGGAGTTGCTGCTTGTCAAGGAAAAGTTAATACATCCATGGGGAGAGTGGCTGCCAATTCCAGCCCTCAAGACTCAGTCTTCCTCTTTTCTCAAACTTCCAACATGTGGCACAGCCCTTACTCTTTTTACATCCTGGAGATGGTTTCCTGCGAGTGGTCATTCAGGGTAAGAGTAATGAACATACTCATTACGGAACCCTTGCAGAGCTCTGCTGGGTGGCGTCTGGATATGTGTACATTCCCTTCGTATTTCTCTGGGGTCTATGTGTGCCACCTGCACTTGGTATCTGTGCAATGTCGTGTGTGCCCCTCGCTCTGAGCGTGTCTTTGGAGCTGCTTAAAGCATGCTTTAAAGACAAAGTCCCTAGGGAGTTAGGGTGTGTGCATTCTCTGTGCTTGTACAGATTCATGGACTTTCTAACTTGAAAAAGATCCCAGTTTCATCCAGTTAGCACCCCCACCCCCTGAAGTCTACATGGCTGGAAAGAAATCCCCAGACAGATAAAGTGACCTGTGTATCCTGACTGAGGATACACACAGATTAGTGGTGAGCAGATTCTAATTCTATCTACTCTCAACTACATGAACATGTCCCATCCCCAGGATTCTGGCCAACCTGTCCCCACTATATCCCTTCTCCAGTCTCTAGTGCTCTAAATGTACACCCAACACCCATTTTTCTTACCATGAATGTTCACCAGGAAGATCTGGACTCCAATCTTCTCATAGGTGGAACTTAGCTAAAGGGTTGGGGGGGGGGTGGAGAGGAGAGGAAGGAAACAGGGAGAAAAGAAAGGAAAGGAATGTTCTGAGTGGGTCTTAAAAGTGACTCATAAAACATACTTCAGAGGGGAAGCCAAACAGACATGCAATCCGGAGGGCCCTGGCAGCCACAGGCAGGAGTGGCAGAGAGCACCCCACGTCTCTCTGGAGTGTTGGTCCAAGGCCTCTTTGAAAAGTGGGGCGGAAATGAGGCTTTGCCAGTGTGGCAGGCACTTGAAGTTACCATGGCCTGTTTTAGGGGTCAGATCTGTACTTAGTGCTCAGAACTAAGGCTCAGTGAGGCAAGCTTTCAGTGAAGGCCTGGAATCTAGGTCCAGCCCAGAGAAGCAGTTGAGTTCAACACCAGAAAAGGGCCTCTGTGTCCCTGGTTGGTAGTGACATCAGCCAGTACATGCTTTGTGCCCCTCTGCTTTCCTGGATCACCTCCATCTGAGACACTCTGAGGCTTGCTGTCAACCTGATATTTACGGGGCCTCTGAGAAGTGATCAGATAGTCCTCATATTCATGGCAGCCCCAGGCTGCCCATTTGGCCTAAGTGTTGGAACACTAGTGTTATGTTGCCTTCTCTCTTGGTTTCACTGATGAGTGTGTGAAGGAGCAGCAGAACCAGGAGCCAAACCGGCCTCACTCAGAGGACCCAAGGTGTGTTCTGGGAAGTGATGACTCCATAAAGAACTCAGAATAGCCTTGGTGGATGGGCTGAAGCTCAGGGAGCTTACTCCAACACCTCATTACCCTTGACTTGCCCTGAAGAGTGTGTCCACCCTGTTTGTACCTGGGCAAGGAGTTCCTAGTGTCTGGAACGTCCCTCAGCTAGTTCAAATGAAGGTCTGGAGGGAAGTGAGCAGGAGTGGGGGCACAAACCTTCTCCAGCCCCACATGGCCTCACCTTGGCCAGGGCTTTGATGCCCATCAGGTCCACAAAGCTGACTCCACTCATGTCGAGGATGAGAGTGTGGAAGGTGACAAAGGGTGGGACACTGGCTAGAGTGTCACTAGACTCCCTGGGGGACTGAGCAGAGGTAGGTAGCTCACACGGGGCAGCTACTGAGGCATTGGGGTTGAAGGTGATATAGGATATGGTGCTATCAGTGGCAGGAGCTCGGTTGTTGTTGGGGTCGGTAGAGGGGGCACTTTCAAAGTCCTGTTGGAGTTCCTGTAGAGAAACCGTCTGTGGGTGGAAAGGGGGCAGGCAGTCAGGGACTGTGGCACTGAGCTCTAAGCAGAGGCAGGAGCATAACATATCAGTTTGGTGGTGAATACAGGCTTCTCCTAAAGCCCCTTCCTATGTGAGGCCTGTAGTCTTTTCCCTCCCAGCCTAGGTAGAAAGAACCTTCCAGAGAAGCTTGAAGCCTTGGCCACTCTGCTTGAGAGAAAACCCCTTGAGAGAGCAGGGCTCTCTGTGCACTTGCCCGTGCTGGCCCGCTTCTCCCACAGCCCTACCCTCACACAACTTAGGCACCTAGGAAATTCCCACTGGACACAGGGGCAGTGGTACTCTGGATCTCACAGCTTTCCCCTTTGAGAGTGCCCAGTAGTGCTCGCAGAGACTTCCTGCTTCCCTCTCAAGATGCTGCAGGCTGGGAGCCAGTGTCAAGATGAAAATGAGCATGGAGGTGGTCCCGGCCTCAGTTCACCTTGGTTTTCATGAAGAGGGACTTCTTCTGCTGTGTGGGCATTGCCGTCCTCTTCTCCTGCTTCTGGAGATACTTCTGCTTGGCGAGTAATACTTTCTGGGGGTCTATACCTGTCTGTGGGGAAAGGGCCAACAGCAATCTTGACCTGTACCTTTGTGGGATGGCCTGCCCTTGGCTCCTAGCCCCTTTCTGCTTCCATCTTCTGGCCACTCTCTCTTTAGCCCTTCCGGTCAGCAAGGACAGAGCCTTACCTTGGCAATGACTTTTTGCCTGAAGATCTCTGAGTTGGCAAAGTAGAGAGGGGAGCAGTAAGTGACAATCTTAACTCCCTCAATTTCCTGGACCTGTGACAGGGAGACTGAGCTCAGGTCACAGATAGGTCTTGGAAAGAGGACAGAATGAAGGAGGGAGGTTCTAAACTTGGATTACGTACCCTGTTGTAGATCTTGGGGTTTACATAGATGTCCATGTCCATGACCTGGGCCAGTGTGGAGCCATTTCGACTAGAAGAAGAAGAGAAGGATGGGAATTAAGGATGCTAACAAGCTTGGGGTGATGCTGGAGTGAGGGCAGGAAAAAATCAGCCAGGGCTCCTGCCCTTAGGCAGGCTTGTTAATCTTTCTTCCCCGGGGACCTAGGCCTGGTGGTCTGTGGCTGGTCTACAACTAGGCATATTTTGACTTAGCCCCCCAGACTGGGTCTCAGAGGAGATGAAAGTGGACTATATAGGTGACAAGCCAGCACTTCCTGGTTCTGAGTTTACAAGAAGAAAGACAAGGTTTCTTCAACACTCAGCACCATCCTTGCCCACACTCCCCTGGCCTCTTCTGTGGCTTCCTCGCTTGCACTGACAGCTTCTTTTAGAGGAAGAGCACAGAGCCCATCTTCTGACCTAGCATTCTCCAGGATAGGGTCTCATTTAGGCTGAGGTTCTCACAGTGGTTCTGGAAGGGTGGTGAGACTCACTCACTTTTCCTTGTCAGGGCCCCCTCCTCCCCAGCCCTCTGAAACCATGCTGATTTGCTCTGGAGTTTTAGGGTACAGAAGCCAGATGGGTCAGTCTATGCCCACTGTACCGGCTAAGCTATATACTTCTGAGGTCTCGTAGCATGCCCCCATACTGGGTCCAGAAAGCAGATGGGATAGTGCCTGTGCTAGGTCTTGGCATGGGAGTCTTCTTAGGAGACTGGTCTAGCAATTCCATACTGTGCGAGGGAGGGATGAGGTCATCACTTACAACTGGGTCTGGAAGACCACAACCAGGATGGAGAAGGCGACACCCACTGCTACGCCGTAGGGCAGACTCAGGAAGAAAGAGGAGAGGAAGCTCACAACCCAGACACACTGTGAGGAGAGAGAGATGTCAAAGGCAGGCTAGGGAGAAAAACTGCCTTTTTCTGGAAGTCTTTTGGGGTTAGTCAAGGCCTTAACCAGCTTGCCCAACTCAGATCTCTCCATTCTTGCTTCACTTCTGTGATGAGTCATGTGCTGGTGCATTGGTTTGCTTGCCTGTTTCTCTTACATTGAGTGCAGCTCATGGTCAGGTTTTTTGTTTGTTTGTTTGTTTTGTTTTTTTCTTTCCAGAGCTGGTGATTGGATACAGGGCCTCACATACTAGACAAGTCCTCTACCATTGAGCTCCACCCCAGTGCTTGACTTAGTTTTAAAAATAGAAAGCCAGCCTTCTATTTTAATAGAATATAGAAGTGTGCATAGAGGGGTGGTGTGAGTGGAGTAAGAAAAACATGTCCTTGGCTCAAGAGCACCCAGGTTCAAAGCTGGGTTCTGAACTGCATAGCTGTGTGAACCAGATTTTTAGTCCACACAAGAGAAAATGAAGTCCACTCTGCTAGAAGACTGGACAGTCAGAGAGTCCTAGCCTTGTTATGTGTTATCAAGTAAATGTGAGCTCTCTTCCTGTCTAACAGTGAAGTGTCCATGCTTTGATGGGAACTCCACTCCTGAACAGAAAGTGTGGGGGAGGGGTCCTGGTTGTGCAATGTAAATATCTGATATGCAGGATAGCTGAGATGCCACCCCATGAGAAGGTCCGTCATCCCCAAAGGCATTGTGACCCAGAGGTCGAGAACCACTACTAAAGGACTCAGCTTCTGTTGGGAGTTTTGTAGAAGTGCAGTGAAGATCAAGTCATATGGTACCTTGTGGCTGCATGACACTATGGCCATAGCCAGGAGATGGGTGTCATGTGGTAAAAGCAGATCCTTGGGCTAGGAACTGGAACATTTAGTTTCTTCCTGTCTCTCCCACTCATTGGGAGCTCCCAGAGGGACTACACATTTCCTGACTTTAAAGATTTCCTTCTTTACATGGTGCAGGAAAGCTTCTGTATCCTAGAGGTAGGACAGCCCAGAAGTCTGGGGCCCAGCAGGGAGTTTCCAGCCAGACCCTGGCACTTGCTTCCTCTATTGCCTCTGATGGTTTATTTACTTGACCATGCTGAGCCTCCATTTTTGTCACCCTCAAAAAGAGTTTTTAGTAAGTTTTGTCTCTGGGCTGCAGTGGGTGGGTTTCAGTGGAAAGAAGGCAGTGTTGTCAACGCCTGGGCGCCTTTATCAGGACTGCCTGTGAAGGCACAGCTGCAGTGTGAAGTCACAAGCAGGATGTTTACATAGCATGGTGCTTTCCCATTGTGATTCATCTAACCCTCAGAGCCAGTGAATGATGCAGAAGACACCTTTATCTCACATCCAGAGGAAGAAGTAGAACAAGAGAGAAGCTTAGAAACTTGCTCAGGACCTTGGTCTTCTACTTTATGTTCTAAGCTTTTATTTTTATTTTTTTAACAGAACACTCTCCTTTTATGGGGGAGGAACCCAGAAATTTGTAAAAATAATAGACACTAAGTTTTGTTGATTATACGTGTAACCCAGACCACACGCAGTTTGCTAGTTTGAGCCCATCTCCTTCATAAGCCATCCCAAAGTTGGGAGAACATGATGTGCCTATTTCAGAGGTGTGGAAGCTGAGGTTTAGAGAGGTAAAGGAATTTGCAATCCTACACAGAGGTTGAATTAGGCTTGAACAAAGAATGGCTCTCTCTAAATCTTTCCAAAACCCTGGGGACTAGGGAACAACAGGCTCTGCATTAGGCCAGAGCTGCAGGGTTACACGAGGGTAGGGGCATCTGTGGCCAACTGGAGACTACCCCACACTTACACAGTCCAGCTTGCTTTTTCTCCAGAGGTAGTAGGGGTCAGTGAGTTGCTTGAGGGAGTTCTTGAGGTTGACAGCTATCAGGGCTCCTAGCACAGCCTGGAGAAGCAGAACGTTACATCATGCCATTTGAGGTATCCCGTTTATTCTGGCCTTCCTACACATAACTGACCCTGAAGTCTGGCGGGTGTGGGGGAAGTAAGACTTCTAGGACTCTTTCCCCAAACTCCCCCTCAATCTTAGGATTGGAAAGTGTAGCCTTTTGAGCCATACAATTTGTTCTGTACCCATCTTTACATTTTCCCCCTTGTTGCATCCCTGAATGGCTCACAACTTAGATCCTTGTGAGAGGCTCTGTGGGTGCACTGACCCTCTGTCCTCCTGCCTAGGAATAAAAGTCCCAGAAAGCCAGAGGTTGAAATCAGTCCTACACAGTGAAATCATGGTGAGCTGCCACACTGACAAGTCAAGACTGTCAGCCTCAGTCTCTCTCCCCTATACAATGGAGGAATAAAATCTGTGTTGTTTACTTCTCATAGAACAACTGACACCAAATGTGACAGTGGTGGCCCTTTGCAATCTATCAAGTGCTACTCCCACCTGTAAGGATTGTCTTTGCTGGAGGCTGTCAGTATTTCCTGCTTTCAGTTGGGCTCTTACCTTGGGGAGAGGGTACAGATAGGACCCCAAGACCAGCATGGTAATCATCACTACCAGAGACACACACAAGCTTGCCACCTAGTCAGAGAAAGAACTGGGAGTGAGTGCCTACGGAGGTCTTGTGACTCAACTGTTTCCCAGCTGCTCTTTTGGTGGCACGGAAGCTACCTGGTTAAGGATAGCATGCCTGTGCCAACTGGACTGCTCTGTTTCTACTCCTACCCGAGTCCTCTAAGACAAGGCTCACCTGGGATTTTCCTCCAGCCCCATCCACAGCCAGTGTGACTGAGAGAGCACAGCAAATAACATGGATCTTGAAAAAGGAGCCGAAGAAGTTGCTACAGCCTAGGGCAATCATCTCCTGTGGAGGGAGGACAGGGTTGATAAGAGTAGGGATTAGATGTAGTCAGTCATCAGTGTGAGGAAGGGCAGGGTCCTATGGTTTGAAAGTGACCGTGATGTCTACACACTACCTCTGGCTTCCATTTGTGGTACACACATACACCTATATAAACTTGCATATATATGTGCGCACACACTGAATGTGTAAACTCTTCTGTGAAACTTCCCACCAAAAAAAAAAAAAAAAGAAAGAGAAAGAAATGAAGGAAGAAGGAAGAAAAGAAGGAAGGAAGGAAGACAAGAAAGAAGAGAAAAGAAAAAGTTAAAAATAAGAGATCGGCCCCTTAGGCCCAGTCTCCTAACCCTTACTACTTCATTTTAGCACAAAGAGTCCCAAGACATCTTTCTCTCCCCTTTTTGAGGTGCTGGGGTGTAACCCAGGGCCTCTTGTATGCTAGTCTACTCTACTACTTAATCATGTCCCTACCCCCACCCCAAGCCATCATTAATAGGCTTCTGTGGGCTTATATCCCCAAGCCCTGCCAGGGGCAGCTGGAGATACCTGGTTAGAATCCACATCATAGCCATGCTTGCTGGCCAGGGTCCGGCCCATAGCCAGATTGATAACATAGCCCACAATTGCCAGGGAGAAGGCTGTGCCCAACATGTCTTTCCACTGCGAAACCACCGGTGCCACTGGAGTGGGAAACCTGCCAGGGATCCAAAAGAAGCATGACCCAGGAGTATGAGAAGGAGCGGAGCTGAGCTCCTACCATATGCCAGGGTCTTATTTGTTAGGCTTGCTCCACATGATCTCATCATAATCAGAGGGAGGTCAGAACTCTTGATTTTTAGAGGAAGCTGGGGCATAAGAGACCTAACTTTTCCAGATCAACAAGATGGTAAATGGGAGGACTTTATATGTTTGTGACCAGATTCTTAACTCTTTGTACATACCAGTTTTTAGACCCACAGACATCTATAGCTGCAAGGCCTTGCCTTCTCCCTTCCTGTTTTAACTCTATGAGACAGCTTTGCCCTGGTCTTCTTGGGTGTAGCATGGTACCTGGCATAGCATAGATGCTTAAAGAATTTGAGTGATCTTAGTGGCTTCCTTTCTGCATGGATAAAGAATATGCAGTAGAGCAAAATGGAAAGCCAGTGATGGGTGGATCAGAGGGACTTTTTTGTATTTCATTTAAGAAACTTATGGGGCTGTAAGGGTAGCCTCACTTAAGACTCACTCTCCATAAGTGGCCGGTACTGGCTGGTTATGTGGCTTTTCTGAGTCAGGGTCATCTAGTTTCTAATGAACTTTCACCAAGAGCCTCTCATCTCCATCAGGGCCCTGGCACTGGTGGAAAGTGGGGAGAATTGGCCTCTGAGTGATTTGGACTCACCCGGGTTGGATCTCTCCCACAATCTGCATGTGATACTTTTTTGGCATCTTGCAGCTCCCAGAGATAGCTGTTGCCACCACCACCTGCAAGCCCAAGTGGAGAATGGATGTCGGTGCTTAGTTGGGGCTAGGCCAGCATCTTTCCTATATCTTTTCCCAGATCCCACTGTCTTCCTCCTTAGGGCAGTATGTGTACGAGCCAGCCGAGGAGGCACACAGTGGATACAGGACACATTCACATGTGATTTCTGGTCCTGCTGGATGCCAGGGGGATGGACAAGGGCTCCTTTGCTCACAGTCCTTCTATCTTAACCCTCAGAACCCCATCTCCAGGCAGGCAGGATCCTCACCACAATCATCTCTGTAGGGATGGGGAAGTGAATCTTGTGCATATAGCGAGCGTTGAGCTCCTTCACCAGCACCAGGAAGACACCGCTGACCAGGGCGAAGATGAGTGAGGCGATGTTGGTGTGGGAGAGGTTTTTGCAAACGTCAATGAAGGTCTAAGGGAGAGAGCATCACAGGCTCCCATCCTTTCATCCCATACTGCCCTGCCCTTGGGTGCCCAGCCCAGGGGAGAGACGCCGCTCGAGACATACAAAGGCAGAACACAGCCCTGGTTGTGAATACTGTCCCATTGGCAATTCACCTCTCCCACAGGGTATGTCAGGTGTGAATGCTAAGATGACAAACTTTCTTATATTTATTCATGTGTATGTGTACCCCCTTCCCACAAGGAAAACTCATTGGGATCCTTTCTGCCCAATGGCCCAGCCAGCTATCAGAATGACTAGATCACAGCCTCCTAAGGATGTGAACTCTGTTTTCATCCTGCCCCTCCCTAAAGGCCACTTCTGGACTCACAAAGACAATGGAGCCTGGGCCTGTATAGGAGGGGATGGTCAGACCAAAGATGTACTTGAGCACAGAGATCAGGATTTGCAGGCCAGCAGCTGTCATGAAGCCCCGGATGAAGGATTCAGAGAGGTAGATGGCAACAAAGCCGAACTGCACAAAGCCCAAGGCCATCTGGAAGGAAGAAAGTGGACAGTCCACAATGGGTCATCTCCTCCAAAGCTTGCCTCACACACAGCCAGGCCTGGAGCCTCATGCAGCTCAGAGATAGCAGGCCCCTACAACCTTTCTGTGCCACTCACTGTGACCTGGGTGCCTGCCACCAGGCCTTCGTACACAGCCTCTCTGTCACTTCATCACACTGGCTTCAGTTCCTTTATCTTAAAAAAAAATTGGTCCTTCTACACTGCCACCTGTTGCCCAACTGAAAACTCAAGAGTCTCAGTGTCTTTTCTCCCACATGGTGTTTACTGCCGAGAACTGTTAATGCTCTTGGCAAAATGTTTCTTCCTCCTACCTCCCATCTCTTTCTCCATTGCCACCACTCTGTTCCTCCTGCCTTAGATCCACTTGCCAACCATCCTTCTGTAGCTAATAGGACCTAAGTTGCTTCCAAGAGGACAGACTGAAGACTTTATTATTGGGCCTTTGCCTACCCTTTCTAGCTTCCTTTGATCCTCTGCCCTTGAGCCACACCAAACTCCTTACTGTCCCCTTCCTGGTCAGATTGCACTGTCTTGGGCCCCAGTGCTCTTGGGTGCTGTTCTCTCTGCCTGGAGCACCTGTTCATTTAGGCACTGGCGAACTTCACTCATCCTTGCCTCCTCAGGTAAAATGTCCCCTCCACTTTAAGGAGTTTCCTGACATTTCTAGGTTCCTATAGGCACTTGTTCATGGCTCTACTATGCCTCTTATCTCACCATGGCACACAAATTTATCTGTTGACAAGACCACTTCCTCTGTCCTGCTTGGAGTCACTTGTGAACTGGGCTGCCTTTTTTTTTTTTAACGTATCTTTGTATCTTTAGTGCTTAGCTCAATTCCTGGCAGAGCAAAGCAACCAGAAAACATTAGGTGAGTGATGACTGAATAATAGGTACTCTCTGAAGTGGCTGGCACACTCAAATTTTGCCACACTACATCTCTTTCATCAACATCGGAGGAACTCTTTGTACTGCTGGGTAGATGGTCAGCTTCTGTAGAGTGCACCTGGGGCTGGGACTGGGGCAGAGGAGGCTGGGGCATTGGAGGGATACTGGCAGAGATCAGGGTTTCTTCAAGCGGCATCTGAAAGTCTCTGGGCAGACTTCATGCTCAAGTAGTTCCATCAGTGGTGTGTGTGTGTGTGTGTGTGTGTGTGTGTGTGTGTGTGTGCGCTAAGCTATTTTAAAGGTCCTTTTTGGCCCTAGGATGGAGACAATAGCCTAGCTCTAAGTCAGCTTTAACATCACCCTGGGGGTTTTGAGGTAGAGGTAAGGCGGTCTGTCACCTTCTGAAGTGGGGTTGCCAGTAAAGTTGAGACCTATGCTTCTCACCTGGATGACAGCAGTCAGGCAAGCAAGTGTCGCTGACACATGCAGCCTCTCTGTCTCCATGGCCGCCGTGTCCACGTAGCTCTCATTAGTGGCATTGTTGAAGATCTGGAATTTCGACTCTGGGGCCAGCTGCAGACAGATGTTACCCACCAGGATGCTGATAACGGCAAAGGTACCTGTGGTGCCCCACCCAGCCAGCAAGTCAGAAGTTTGCAGCATGCCCATGGAAATGACCAAGAGGTCCAGCCCAGGAACACATACCAGCCCATTTGGATGGCTCCCTACATTGGTCTTGGCCAGCACAACTACCAGCAGCCTATCTAAGCAGCCACAGACACTTCCCCAGATCATGTACATCCGTGTTGACATTATCTTATTGGAAACTAACTCAGTGCTAGCAGAGCCTGGGCCAGGCACCAGCATGTAGGTTCTTTTACTCCATCTCATTTGACACTAGACAATTCCAAACATCCCTGCAGTGGCCTGCTGAGAGCAGCTGTTTCTTGAATCTATTTGGTCTGCATATGGCATATCTTGTTCTGTCGAAGCACTTTGCTCTCCTTCCTGGGAGGGAGATGGAACAGACTATGCCCACAATTTCTCCAAGGTCTTCGAGGACCTAGGACTGATGCAGCAACCACCCTTTCAGGTTGGAGAAAAATCAGTTCCAGGAGAATAAAGGCGGAAACTGAACCTCCTTCACCATGCCCTGAGTCCTTGTGCTTGCCAGCAGGGAGAGACCTTACCTGGCACCATCTGGTGTATACCCCCTAAGAAGAAGTAGGTCAGGAGGGGGAAGAAGGAGGAGTAGAGACCATTGACTGCAGGAAGGTTAGCCAGCAATGCAAACGCCATGCCTGCAGGCAGCAAAGAGAATTGGGTTTATCTCAGGAAGCATCTGGTTCACAGGGGTCACAGAATGGTGTGGGATGGGGTAGAGATGGGGAAAGAACAGGAGAGAGGGAGTGGCCAGCTAGGCTTGGCTGAGGGTACTCTCACCTTGGGGCACCTGGATGCATCCCCCACTGAGTCCGCCCAGCAAGTCAGGGATGATGTAGTCTTTGATCTTGTACTTAGGGAGCCAGGAAAGCACTGGCAATAGCCCCAACACAATGGCTTTGAACTTGGTGGAGGAGCATCTGTGGGAGAAGAGGGCAGATTGCAGGGAGATGCTAACTTTCTGGTCACCTGGTCCACTCCTCCTCAGTGCAATCAGTATCCCAAGGCCATGGCCTGCAGTGCAGGCTGTTGAGGAGGGAAAGCTTTGTTGGAGAGCCTGGCCACATAACCTGAGCATCATTGTTGGCTCTCCACACTTGGGAGCCTATAAGGCCTGGTTACAAGCTGTTGATTTTATGGTGGCTCAGCCTTCTTGAAATGTCAAGTCCCTTTCTTTTTAAACTTCTCAAATAGGCAAACTCTGTTGTCCCCATGAAGTGCACTCTGCCAACCTGCTGTCCTCTACTTATAGTGAGTCTAGCATGGGCATTCAACCCTGGCAAAGCATCAGAGAAAAAAAGGAAGATTGGAGAGCTGTTCCTTGGCCAACAGGGAAAGGGATATCGATCTTGTCTCAGTTTGAGGGCCTTTCATGGAAACTCATAAGTAGCTGGAACAAGGGCTTACAAACCCAAGGGTGACAGCCAGTGGATTGATGACTTGGGGTGGGGGTTGCTTTTCTTCTCCAGAGTGAGGGAAGTCAAATGTTCTGGGTCTCTGTGGTGACTCATGGGTCTGATTAGGCTTCCTTTCCTGTGCTGCACCAATCTTTACTCTTTGCTGTTGCTCAACAATAGTTTCCCTGACACTGGGGCCCCTGGATGTCAACCAAGACTGAAACTAACACAGACAATGCTTTGTATCCTGGAAAGTCTAGGCAGATTTTTTTCCCTGTCTCGATTAAATATTCTGTAGAACAGCATCTGCGGCAGCCTCTGTCAGCTCAGCCTCTTCCGGGGTTTATGCTGCGTCTCACACCCGGGACATGGTGAACAGCTTAATGCATACTGAAAGCCTTGTGCTGGGAAGCAGCAGTCCTGCAGGCCTTCTGTCAGCTTTGCTTATGGCAGAGAAAACTGGACTCACCGGTAGACAGTTGGCTAGGGAAGGAGCCCAGCCTTCTCGAACGTCTGCCATATGTCAGGCAAAGCAACCTTAAGTCTGAAACAAGTGCTGGAAAGAGATCCCAGACAACTTATACAGAAGTCTCAGAAGCCAGGACAGGCTTGGAGGGAGGGATTAGCACTCCAGATATTCATTCATTCATTCATTCATTCATTCATTCATTCATTCATCCATCCATCCAACCAGGATTTTTTGGAGCACTGTGTGCGAGGCACTGTTTAAAGCTCTTGTGCCAGCGTCATGGGAACTATTAGTTTTCTGCCTCTCTTTATAGTTTGAATCATCTCTAATCTTCAGGAAAATGTCAGATCCTCCATCCTTCCAGCATGCAAACAATCTACATGTAGTCTCCTTGGACACAAAGACTGAGCCCATCTGTCTGAGGAGCACAGTGGCAGGGACACATCTCAGACACTGGGCACACAGCTCTTGAGTGTTGCTGAGCAGAGTCAGAGCCTCCCAGGAGAGGCAGGGCTGGACCAGGATTTTTAGTGAAGACTCTAGTGGGTGATTCCCCCTGCCTCAACCTGTTCCACCTGTGGCTCCACTTTAGCTACTGCCAGTGACCTCAATCCAGGTAACTGAATCAGCTGTTTCCCCAAGGGAGCCAGGGAATGTGAGGTCTGCCAGAAGCCTGGGGAGGTGGGGGAAAAGGGAGGGTGAAGCCTGTGGCCTCAGGCCTCTGGGGTGTGGGTATGGGCCACTGTGTACAGCCCCTTCCTCTGAGGCAAAACCCACCACCACCACAGTCCAGGGACCTGAGAGTGGGAGACCCTGAAGGCTGGTGAGGTCCTCTTCAGTACAGCCTAGGAATTTAGGGCCTCCTCTAGGAATTCTTTGAACCAGATGGAAAAAGGACTGTTTAAGAGGGGATGAGGCACGGGGGGGGGGGGGAGTTGGTGCCTCAGGTGCTCTTTGAGATGCAAGGAATGGGGGTTGAGGAGGGGCTCGCACACCCCCTACCACACCAGGCTGTAGCACACCCATCTACAGATCATTTGAGGACCTAAGAGAGGTATGGGCGGACTGATACTACAGGAGACCCAGGGTTGGGGGTAGAAACACCCTACAACCCTCTGAAACAGCTAGTGGTTCTTGAGCCTCCTCTCTGTCCTCCCTAAGGATCTCAGAGCATATGAGCTTGCAGGCTCTTATTTTCAGGGTTCAGACTCTCCCTTCCCCTGGGGCTTCCCTAACTCCTTGGGTACTGGTCCAGGAGCCCTGACCTGAGCAGGATGGATTTTGGTGAGGAACAGAGGAAAAAGGGCATCTGGGCTCTGGGCCACATTACCTGAAGGTGTTGCGAAGTTTCTCTCCTACCGGGTAGGTGCGGTCCTTTTTCTCAAACTCATCATCGAAGAGGGAGAGGGAGTAAGCAGCTCTGTCTACCACGTAGCGGGGCCTGGGCTGGCTCATGTCTGGGACATTGACAAGCTTTGAGAGAAGCAGAGTGTGGAAAGGTGAGGGGCACCCCTTCTCAGGGCCGGCTGGGGCCTCCTCTCTCTAGTCCTCACTGCAACAGAGATTTATTCCAGTCTTCCCGCCCCCATCCAGTGAGGTGCCTCCCTTCCTCAGTCAAGTCTTTCCGCCAGACTCACTTCTTTTGGTGGCCTTCCTTCTCAGGCACTGATGATACACACACACTCGCCCTGGCTGTTTTGCTTGGCACCCAGCACGTGGCTGGCACTCCACACCCGTGACATCACTGTCACTCCCGCTGAACAACAGGCAAAGAGAAGGTGGGAGTACAAGGACAAAAGTCACAGCTGGTTGCCACACAGTCATCCTATTCCCCTAGGCCAGGATGGCTCCACAAAGTGCTTCTTGCCCTAGGCTTCTGTTTCTCTGCCAGAAGGGCTCATATTATTCAGCCAGGTAGCTTGGAACAAATGGGAAAACAGCCTGCCTAGAGGCAGGGGGATGGCCAACGTGACCTCAGGAGGACCTTTGTTGGATAAGACTCCCTGCCTACAACTACAACTTCACCAACAGGTTTCCCCAGGAAGGACAATGGTGTGCTTGGGGAAGTCTGGATGGTCAGCTTCAGTTCTCTCCCACATCTTCCTGGGCCTAGCCTTCCCCCCACCCTTGTGTACTGGTGTCTTTCTCCTCCTCACTCTTTGCGTAACCTCACTGATGTTCCAGGAGCTGAGCAGGGCAGAGCTTCATGCCAGGGCCCAAAGCCCAGAGGAGTTCCCTGTGAGAACTTTTCCTGCATCATTCTCCAACTCTGACCCCTTTCCTGTCCCTCAATCCCAGATGGCAAGAGCTGTGTTGAGGCCCTCAGAGGAGGAGAAAGATGGGGTGGCTTGAGGGAGGACTTACATTTGAGAGGTCCCCAGGGAATCTAGGGTGGCTGTGACCACAGAAGGTTTGAGATAAGGCTGAAGATGCACAACCACAGTGGTACCCATCCCACCAGACTTTCTAGGTGAAGGCCCCAGGGAGCAGCTTAGCATATACCTTTTTGGAAGGGGACACTGGAAAGAGCTGAGAATACAGACACTTGAGACTGGTTCTGGCTGTGGTGGAAAGAAGGAAAGGGTGATATTGCCTCTCTGAGCCTCCAACCCCTCATCAGCAAAGTGGGGTAGGCTCCTTACTTCACAGGGATGTAGGTGTGATAGCCAAGAAGGAATTAAGTAAAATGAAAAGAAGGACAGCAGTGTGAGGGGTCTTGGTTAAGGAAGTTGTGTTCCAGTTTGTTGGTGTATCCATTCCTTTGGTCTAGGGGCTGAGAAAACCTTTCTTTGGAATGGCAGGTTTGACTGTTAGTGAAACCCCATGATGATACCTCCCCAGGGTAAAATGGGTGGATGAACCCACCTACAGAGCCCCTGCTCAGCTCCTTGCCTGGTATTTAGTACCTAGCAAATGTTTGTTGAGTTAATCAACCAATGGGGTTTTGGAGGAGACATGGGCAGAAGTGAATAAGGGCCATGGTATGTGAGACATGTAGTGGGAGAAACTCAAAGTGGCTTCAAGAAAACAGTTCAAGTTTAAGAGGCAGAATGCCCTGGGTTCAAAGGTGTTGTTTCTTCATTCCATAAGTGCAAATAATAACAGTCCCCAGCAGTTGCTGTAAGGATTAAGTGATCTCGTGTGTGATGCACTGGTTTCCTAGGTTCCCAGTGAGCAGCAATGACACTGATTATTATTATTAAGATGGGAGGATGCTTTTTTCTTTATGAGAGATGATTCTCCAGCATCCAGTCTTCACGCTCCATGGAGCAGCCTGGCTCCACTCTTCCTCCCAATGTCCCTGGGGTCTGCCAGGCACTGGCTTTCTAGCTGGCTTGCTTGGCAGGCTCCTTGGGAACAGTGAAAGAGGAGTCTGGCACCCCAGAGGAACCCATAGAGCCAGGCCTGGCTTCAGGGATGCTTGCAGTGTGGGGAGTGTGTCCCAGGTCACTGAACAGACTGAACCAACTGGCCAAATATTTCAAGGTGAGCCAATGGATGAAATGTAGCCATCAGGGTGGGGGTAGGTGGGCTGAAGGATGGCCCCAGGCTATTTTTAAAAGTGGTCTGTTCTGCTAGTACACTTGTTGGATAGGATATACCATGCCACTATTCCAGATGCCTCATCAGCTTTCCTCCTTGCTCAACGGTTATCTTTCTTCCTGCTATCTAGTCATTCCTTTCCTGATACTTGTCTCCACATTCAGTTGTTCACCCATCCTATTTATAGCTCCTTCTTTTCTCCTTCACTTTTTAAATCTCCTGTGCATTGACTTTACCCTGCCCCCACTTTCCAGGTCTGACTTCCCTCAAGCACCATTCTTAACTGACTTCTTGGCCTGCTCTTCCACTGGGCACATATGTCCTGCTCGGAAACTCTGGTAATCATTTCCAGGAGGACTGAACCCTGGCTCCTCATTTTTGCCCTGTTGTTAGCCGGCCCAGTTGGCTGTTCCCTCTGCCCCATGCAGGCAGATTGTTCAATCCCAAACAGGCTTGGGTCTCTCCAAAGCTCCTCCTCACTCCAGGTGCTCTGACTCATTGCTGCCTTTCTAGACCTGCCTGTCAGTGAGAGAAGACCTGCTTGCATTCTTCCCCCATCCCCCATCCCGAAACCTTTCCCATTTCCCTGGCCTAGGGCAACTGCTCTTTCCTCTCCGATCTCCTTCATGGCTAGTCTGGCTTAGGTACTGTGGTGGGTTTCAACCGTTTCTGTCTGCCTGTCCAGGAAAGGGAGGGAGGAAAGGGGCAGAGGTGTGAGCCCTTTAAAGAGTAATGGATGGGTGACTCAGCATGGTCTCTGCCTCTCTGGGCAAGGCTTCCCTGAAGTCTGAATTCTGGGAGTCCCCAGTGACACAGGCTAACAGAAGGAAAAAAGTCCCACTGCTTTTGGTAACCCCAGTCTGCTGCTTTCCCAAACTCCTCCTCTTCTATTCCATGCTAGGACATTGCAGGGGATCAGGGCCTTTCACAAACCTGTTTAATAAAAAAGAGAAGCCTACAGTTGGTTGAAGTCAGGAGGTTTTGTTTAGAAGGAGACTTGAGGACTGTGCTGGCCCAATTCTCTTATTTTGTGCATAAGGAAACTGAGTCATGGAGAATAGCAGATGTGTGTGAACTAGGCCCTGTCAATGCCTGCGGAGAAAGGGGCTCCAGGACTCCCAGGGACACCACTGAACTGTGCTCTCTGATGACCTCTGATCGTACAAGACTTCTGGGTTCTGTTTTTCCTCTTGAGGACTCTGCCTGGGTTCTGCCTCCTACCCTGGTCTCTGCTTCTTCAGCACAATGACAAAACTAAGTTACAAGTGGAGGTTCAGGGGCAGCCCTGGTTCCTAAAGAGGGGTCACCTTCATCATACTTTCTGTTCTCAGGAAGGAAGGGCTGACATGGGGTAGGCAAAGCAGGTACAGTCCTTTCATTCCCAGTCAACCTTTCAAACACTGGAGCAGTGGAGTAAAGGGGAACATGAGAAGGGAAAGTGGGTGAACTATCATGGAGTGCAGGGATCTTAATCTTTTGTAGATGGGCTTTAGGGTTTCTCAGGGTACTAAGAGAGCCTTAAGATATTGTGTTGGAGTACACCTGTAATCCCAGAACTCTGGGGGAAGAGGCAGGCAGATCTCTGTGAGTCCGAGGCCAGCCTGGTCTACAAACTGAGTCCTGGACAGCCAAGACTACATAGAGAAACCCTGTCTTGAAAAAAAAAAGATATTGGGTTGGGTGGGGAGGTGAAAAAGGAACAAGAAGGATGGAGAGATGGCTTCAGGACTAAGTGCACTTGTTGAGGACTGGGACTCAATTCCCAGCATCCACACTGTGGTTTACAGCCATCCTTAACTCCAGTAATAGGGAATCTAACAGCCTTTTCTGCCTCCACAGGCACCAGACACATGTGGTATATATAATATATGTTATATGATATATTATATATGCATACATATATGCAAAACATTTATACAAATAAAATTTAAAACTCTAAAACAACAACAAAAAGCAAGACAGCGAGAGAGGTATCAGGAACAAGATGATGTGATCCCTAGTTAAACTCATAGCCCTGATGGGTCAAGTGTTCTGTGGTCATCATTGTGTATTCCCACTCTGCCACATTGTCAGCTCCCCCACTTTGATAGATTGAGGTACCCTGTGACAGTATGGAGGAACACAAAGGTGACTCTCATCGTGGAGAAGTGAGGAGGGCATCCTGAAGAGCTAAAGGTGGGCTCTTTATGAATTAAGAGGGTTAGAGAAAGGGAGGTAGGGAGGGAGAGAGGAAGAAAGGAAGGAGAGAGGCAGGAAGATGTCTGTGGTTACACAGACAATTCCTAAGCCTGGGCTAGGAAAGGAATGAGGTCAGTCTAGGGCTGGAGGAATGTAGGGATCTTGTGCTGCTGAAGAGCTGGAGAAAGGGAGAGAGTGGACTCCAATGAACTCATGCAAAAGAAAGCCCACTAGACCTCCTCCCAATCTTGTGTCTGACTAGGTCTGTGGATCCCCTTAGAATGCTTGTTTAGGGGTGGGCTTAACCTGATGCCCAAGAAAAGGAGCTGCAGGGTGCCTGGCCCTGGGAAGCAATCAATTCTGGCCATTATTTTTATTACTGACACTCTGGAAGACCCCCTTCCTAGCTCTGCCCCCTTAGGCATTCACCATGCTTTTCTTGCCCCTCCTTTTCCTACTTGTTTCTATGCTTCAGTCTCAGGCTCTCACACTCTGGGAGAGCATTAGGGAGCAGAAAGATGAAGACCTGCCCATGGATTTCTGTCATGTCTGTAGGTGACCCTGTCACTGTAGCCCAGAATGACTTTGTTCCATAGCCCTTGTGGGGGGGGGTGCCTGAGGGGGGTTGTTCCTTGATACACCTGTGCCAGACACTGGAGCAGCCCTAGCTTAGCAGATTGCAGGTGTCCTTATCACAAGTCTCTCTACCTGTCTAATGGCTATGTGCTGGGGAAGGAAAAGGTCACCTTGAGGTCCCCTTTGCTCCAAGGGCTGGCCGCTTGCCTTCTTCATCTGGGATAAGTATCCCAAGAAAAGGCAGCCTTTGTCTGGCCAGAGTAGGGGTATACACTGGTGACAGGACAGAGAAGGGATATACACTGGTGACCTGGGGTCCTGGCTGGAGACTGTGTACCTGGCAGGAGGAGGGAGGCTCTAGAAGCCTGTGCACCCCTAAGGCATCTTGAAACACTCCTTCAATTGTCACCAATTTTCTCCTGAGTCTGCAGTCCCCACTCAGCTCCAGGCTGATGTCCTCATTCAAATGGTGACTCTGGTTGTTCTGGTACTGTACCCTTTGCAGGGGACTCTTTCTGCAACACTCAAGCCTCCATTCCTTATCTCAGTAGTCCATCTGTTCTCCCTGTTGAGAACAAATGAACTGGACTAAGGTGAGATGCTGAACAGTGCTTCCAACAGTGCACAAGGTCACAAGGTCCCTGTAAGGACACTTGGGGTTAGACTTTAGAAATTCCTAAAGAGACCAGTGAATCCAAGAATATAGGTCAAAGCCCCAGGTGGCACTGAGGGAAGGCTGACTCCCCTGGAGGATTATATCTTTTAAGTCACAACCACATTGGCCTCCATAATTTAGCTCATGACCAGCTGATCTCCTTCCCTTTAGCAAGCTTCCTCAGGTTATTTTGTATAGTTTGATACAATTTCACTTAATATAGATTAGATGTCACTCTGCTGGGAGCCCTTGAGTACTCAGAGATAAAGGGTCCAGTTTTGCTTTAGGATTTCATACAGTGGTCCTCACTCAGGTCAGGACAGACCCTGGGAGGTGCCAGAAAGGCTGGTGTAGCGGTGGATCTGGTTCTGGTATGTACTGGTCTTCATGTTGCCCAAGCAGGCTCTGTCCAGGTTCTGAGAGCATGTGAGGGACTGTAGGAGCTCTGGGAGAGGCTTATCTTTGAGTAAAATCACTTAGGAAGAAAGTCCTCTGTCAGAGTGCTCTGTTTCAGGGTGGAGAAGGCTTTGCCACACCAAGGGGCACATCCTTAAAGCTGGTTTCCTCCAGGCACTAGCTTCTAACAGGCCCAGGATTAAGTGAGTGATCGGTGCTGTGATGATAAAAGGGTTGCTTGGCCTGGCCTGGGGACTAATTTCCAGTAGCGACACTATCCAAGGATGCCCTGGGGCTCCTTAGAACTGCAGAATAGGAAGTTCAGGAGCTGGGCGCCTGTGAGTCTGGCTCCTCACCCACTGTGCTGGCCCAGACCCCTTCCATGCTGTACCACCAAATACTCTACATGCCTGATGGAGCCTGTCTCTCCCTTGCCTTGTGCTCTGTAGCTTCCTCTCTGTCTATCTCTTCAAGCTTCACAGAAGCAACAGAGACCAAATAGGAGTCCATAAAGCTCATGCAGAATCCTGAGGTCAGGAGAGTAAGTGAGGGAAGGGTCACAGCCACATTGAAATGCACTGAGAGCTGTCTGCTTTCAGGACTTGAAAAGAAGTGGAGAGTGTAGGTAGTGGCTGCTTAAGAGACCCCGGTGGCCCAGGTTCTATTCCTTTTCCTGGAAGGCCTTGTTTTTCTCCACTCTGTTGGGGTGTCACTGACCTCCTCCAATGCAGCTGAGCTCAGCCCAGCAGCTGAGGTCTTTACAGTAGACTGCACATAGGGCAGGGATGGAGAGTTGCTCACAGGCTCCGGTCCAGAGTATCCTTCCCATTTGTGCTCAGGTTGGCAAGCCCCCACCCTCTCATCTTTCTTCTGGAGGTACCCCTGGAGCCTGCCCTCTTCTCTGGATAACCCCCAGCCCTTGGGTGGGTTGAGCTGGGTGGGGCTTACCTCTGGTTGAGCAGAGCTGGCTGGGCAGGGCTGCAGGTGTGTCTGGGCAGCGGGCAGCAGGCAGAGAGGTGTTCCTGAGGTGTGTGAAAGGGCTCTGCTCAAATAATCCAGGGAGGCGTTTATAAATAACTTCACCTCAGGGCCACGGGTGAGCCCTGGCTTCTGATTGGCTAAGAGGGGAAGTGGTTTTGAACACTACACCAGAGCTAAGCCTAAGGAGATAGGAAAAGGAGATAAGGGGGAAAAAGTCCCAAATGAACAGCCCTTTTTTTGTTTTACCTGGGAGCAGGGCTGTTTGATGGGAGCTTGGCACTTCCTAAATCCACCCTGAAGACAATAGGTCACATTCAGTGGGGCCACTACTCCATAAACTCCCCCCAATGCAGTCAGCAGAGGAGGGGCAGCAGGCAGATTCCTCTCTGAACTTGCTGTCCTTCTCCTTATGGGGTTGGGGGTCAAGCCACACAGCCTCTTGGACAATGGACACCATTGAAGCCACCTGAGGGGTGGGCCTCTGTGGCTCTTGCTTTGAAGGTTGGGGGTCTGGAGGTGGGGGACAGTGGACCTCTGAGTACCCTGGGAGAGGGCATGAATGGTGTGCTTGGAGGCCCTGAGGGCTCTGAAATACTTGGAGCTGAGGTCGAGACTTGGTTTCCAGCTCTGTCATCATTTTGAAATCTGTCTCTCTGCTGTGGGTGCAGTATGCTCAGGACCATCAGAAATGCTGTGAGGTTCTGAATCGCCATCATAAAGAAGCTTGGACCTATAGCAGATCTAGGCAATGTGCTCTGGAAGCCTGCAACTCTCTAGACCACAGGCCTCCACCCCCTCCTGGAACCAATGCTGCAGAGCCGATGGCAACACTTAGGCACCCATCTGTCTTTGGAGCAGAGCTGTGGGTCTGATGGCCACAGATACAGTGGGAAACCTCTGAAAGCAGCATGGGAGTCGACCATGTGGGCATCCCTCCATGATGCCAGGTGGATTTTGTTTTCAAGATATCTTGAGCTAGACTGTCCTAGCCCTGGTTGTCTTTCCATCTCTCTAAGATTAAACAGACACTCTGAAGTGTGGTGCAGTCAATATAGGGGTGCTTCAGTAAAGTGCTGTTAAAAGCGCCCTGGGAAGGTGAAATAACTTGCTTAGGTACATATTAGGTACTCAACAAATATTTGTTGAATGAACGAAAGAATGAATTGTCTGCAAGCCCAACCCAAGGGATAGTTTGTAGATGCATTGCTTTGGAGGACTAAGGGAACACCCAAGGTCACTCAGAGTTGTCAAGGTGTAGCCAAACAACTTGCTGAAGAGAGCCAGAATGCAAGGGACCCAAGCATGCCTGCCACTAGGGCAAGGGGAGGTAGTGACTATGAGCCATTCCCTATGCTCCTGCAAAGACAGCATGTCTCCTTCCTGCAGCCTTTTCTGCCTCAGTGTCATAAGAAGGAGAGTATAGCCATTGTGTGTGATATGCTTAGTAGTCAATCTTTTAAACTCGGTTACCATATGAAGGTGTCAGTGGGCTTTATTACTTTTGCATTCTGACCACCTAACCCACTGTCTAGCACTTATTAAGAGTTAAGTGTGAGTCTGTGAAATGGGTGAGTGACAGTGTGATGGCGCCTTTGAACAAATCAAAACCTAAAACCAAGAATCTGTCCATTGTTATCCAGCATCGTCCAGCACAATGGGCAGTGTAGGCTATGTATCTTGGTCAGGAAATTCCTAGAAAGCAGATGAGTCATCAGATTCCTACTGTAGCCAAGTGACAGTGGCCATCAAGATCAAACAGTGCCTCTTTGTCTTTGTTGAGGCACCATGTTTATGAAGGAATTTTTGGCTGTACTTGTTTTGGGCAGAGAGAGTACTGCTCAGTTGACTGGGGCAACAGGGTTATCTGCAAGTATTTCTTCTCTTTTAAACAACCCACGGATATTCTGGGCTACCAACTGGTCTAGTGTGAGCTTTATTATCTAAGCTGGTTCTCTCTGTGCCTCATCTAGCTTGCTATCATATCTTTCAGCTTTCATTCAAACTATCTGATTTAATTCTAGAGTCAGTCTTGTGGTATACGCACACTACTCTCACGTTTGACTGAGTAAACAGAGGTTGACTGAAGTCAAGTTACTTGCCCAATATCACAAAGATCTCCATGGAAGAGATGGGAAGGGAATTTGGTTATGTCACTTTGAACCTGTAGGAGCAAGGATTACATGCTAAGCCACACCTACCTTTTCAATACAATCAGCCAGGTTTTTGACCAAGTCCTAAGGTGATCTGGATACAGATAGCTGGGGCCTATTGAACAGGTTAGGAGCTTCTTTGCTCTTCTCTTTAACTTTTCCACAGTTTCAGAAAAATTCTAGGCAGGGAGCCTTTACCTAATTGGACAGGACAAATGAACCAAGAGGGTCCTTTGAGGTTGAGTCATAGGTGGGAGGCCCAGGATGGAGGAACCTGGACCAAAAGTGGGGAGTTAGAGGTTTTCAATTTTCCTTGAAGGCTGAAAGGGCATTTTGGGAACATATTAGATGGAATAAGCTATGAGACAGTTAGGGTTGAGTAAGGACACAAAAATTTAGAGAAATAGGTATGAGCTGAACTAGAAACAAAGAGAAAAAGAAAGAGAGACAAATTCTTTGAAAGAGAAAACAGCAAAACCACTCACACAGAGAGTGTCTCAGCCATGGGTTTCATTAGCTTACTGTTTCCATGATAAAAGAAGGCCAATTGCAGTTCCTCATCATCCTTTGGAGCAGTATAGAGTCTTTTTTGGAAGCACCTGTTTTACTCTCACCTTGGGGCTGGAAGTTGTATTGGTTCCTTCCTTCCTTCCTTCCTTCCTTCCTTCCTTCCTTCCTTCCTTCCTTCCTTCCTTCCTTCCTAGTAGTGCTAGGAACTTGCCTTTTAAATACCAAGATAATTAAGACAGAATTCATGTCATAAAATATCTCGTCTGTGAGACCTCTTGGGCAAGAGGAAACCTGCACTATAATCCCTAGCGGTCATTTCCAGGAAGTTAGATGGGTATTGCTCCTGAAAGCACTGTTTCTAGAGGGCTTTTCCAGATTGTTTCTGGTCCTCTATGACTTCTGAATCAGTCCAAGGGTCTATGTTTTTAGTTTGTTCTTGGGTTCCCTACTGACCCTAAGCTTCCTCAGTGTTCCCAATTCTTTCTGTGCTTTAATGTATCACATTACATTGCACATGAACACCCACACGTACACACTACATTCTCTCTCTCTCTCTCTCTCTCTCTCTCTCTCTCTCACACACACACACACACACACACTTTGCACACATGCCATTCTCACATCAAACAGGTCTGGAAATTTTCTGAGTTATTCAGATAAAGCCACAGTGCTCATCAAGTACAGTCTTGACACACCTTGTCTTTGAGCTGTTCCTGCTAAGGAACAATCATTTTCAGATGAGTAAGCTGAAGTTAGAATCTGTAAACAGACACCAGATCTCCTCAAACTGACTGTCCATCCTTGGGCCTCTGGCATTGTGGCTCCTTGCATGAGTGCCTGTGTGGAGCCTGTGCCAAGGGTGTGGCCAGGATCATGTTTTGGGCAGAGTAGCCTAGTGACTTTAACAAATACCTCAAGGCCAAAGAGAGAAAAGTCTTCACTCTTGCCCTGAAATGCAGGATCTGATCTGAGCCTAAGGCTGCGAGCTATGGGAGCATACAAGGAACTGGCAGAGTGCAGTGCTTCCCACAGGAAGTCAAACTCTCACCTCTCTCCCCAGGGAAATGAACTCAGGGGCTTAGCAGTCCAGCTGGGGCATAGGGGTCTGGTCAGAATTTCGGGGGGGGGGGGAGGGAATAAGGTGAGCAGGTTGATGCTAGCTGGGGCCCAGTCTTCCCACACAGGGAACCTGAGCTGATACCATTTACCTGGCACTGTGATAGACATGTGGGATCTGAGACCCAGCAAGAACCAGTCCTGAGAGGTCAAGACCCTGACAGGAGCAGACAGAAGAGGCTTAAGGAAAATACATGACAGAGCTGGGGACAAGTAGGCCAAAAGTGAGCTTAAAGCAACCGTGAGATGGGATGGTCTGGTCAGCACCTGATTCTAGTCAGGTCAGAATAGTCTGTAGAATCTGCCACCCAAAGGAAAAACATTGCCATAAAGTCCTGCCATGGGAGAGGAGGAGGGGCACCACCTCTCTCACTTTACAGATGAGAAGCCAAGTCCACAGAGAAGGTCAGTAGCCTTCCTAAGGTCACCAGGAGAGTAAGGAGGCAGGTTGGTTGGAGGCCTACAGTACTCTTATCTGTCTTGGAGTACAGGCTAAGCTATTTTTACACACACACACACACACACACACACACACAGCCCAACCTCTCATGTTCCATACCACTCAGTCAATTTTTTCTCCCTGGGAGATGCCCCTTGTCTCCTCACTGATTTTTGGGAGGGGAACAAGTCTGTTGGGCTTGGAAACTTGAGGGCTGAGGTTCTAACTGGGACAATTCTGCAGCTTCTAGAAAGAGGAGGCCTGGTGAGACAGCACAGCAGCAGGCAAAGGTGTTTGTCACCAAGCCTGATAACCTGAGTTGAATCCCTGGGACTCCCATGCCGGAATGAAAGAACAGCCTTCCACTGACTTGTGTGTGTGAGTGTGAGTATACATATACAGATAAATGAAGGGAAGAAGGGAGTGATACTGCTCAGAACCAGAAATGGTGGCGTAGGTGGGAGTGTTCAAGGCAGTTTAAGCCAGCCTGGAAATGCTGAGACCAGGCCTGAGGACAGGTTTGGTAGGGACAAGTTCTGAGCTGTTGATGGATAGGATAGGCCTCCTGGCTGCAAATATGACATTGGGGCCCTATATCTTAGTAACTAGATATAGGGGATACTTTAAAGGGCAGGGTGTAGAGAGCCCAAACCTTCAGTTCAGGAAAAATTGAAATAGGTGGAGAAGCACAAACTTGGTTGTTTTGGGTTCCAGGGCTGTTCAGGCTTGGGCAGTGTGGGATTAGATGGGAAAATGGTGTTTCTGGTTTGGGGTCAGTTGGGAGAAGGTGGTGTAGTCTTTTCTAGTCTGCACCCTCTAGAAAAATATGTAAGCCT